AGATTTTGAATAACAGCACCTGAAAGAACTCATGTTTTTTTGGACCCTGAGCATACCAAAGTGCAGCAAATTAAAAGACTTTAAAGGTGTGACCAGTGTTGACAGCCAAATATACACTGAACAAAGTCCCACAGAAATTTGATAATGACCACATATCACATTTTATTGGTTATGGTTGAGGGATAAATATAATCCTTTACTCCTCTGTATCAGGATCTATAATGTTTCACCTGAGAGTACAGATTGAACCTGAGTTTACTGTCTCATCTGAAAAACTGCGCATTCAATAATGCAGCACTTCTTCAATATTGTACTGGAGTATTAGTTTTATTTGCATGCTCAAGTCTCAGGAGAGGGCCTTAAAGCCACAGGAGTGCAAGGAACTAAGACATTACTGATTTTGACTTTGTAAAATGAGACTTGACCCTGGCTGAGGTCATAGTGTATCTGCCTATCTCAGAAAGTATCTACAGGATTAACTCCACACAGGCCAGGCCTGCTTAATACTGCTTTGACTGCTTTCAAACATGTGCACAGCTTTGGTGCTGTCTTTGCATGTATTGAGATTGTCAGTGCCCTCAAAGTCTTTAACTAAATTGTGCTTCAGTTTACAAAGTCAAGTGGACTCACAACAGTTTATAAAGTGGTGTTGGTACATTACTGAAGTTTATTCACTGCTGTGAGTTCAACTGAATCAAAAAGATTTCATGTTACTACTGGAATGGAATGGAGTCCTGATTCTGGAATCATACCATCATTTCATTGTAGAGAAACAGAAATGTATGTGCAACAATTCAAAAACAGCAACAGACTTTATAGTTTATTTGATTGCTGCACATCAACATTAATTGCTACATATTCTATCATTTCCAAATCAAAGTGACACTTACCTTATGATCTATGACCTTTAAGTATACATTACTGGTGGTGTAGTGATAATATTGGGAGTTGGCTAGCTCAGTTGCTTGGATGCGTGGTTTGCAATGTAGAATGAGACCAGCAGGGTGGGTTCAATTCTTATACTGGCTGAGGTTATCTTAAAGGTCTCACTTTCTCAACCTTGCCTTAGTTTTGGTGATCGAAATAACTGCACAGGGGCTGGTATCCCATCACCAAATCACCCCTTATTTACTTGGGTATAGTACATTGCCTGTGGCCAGACAGCTTGGAGTCGGTCCTTTCAACTGAGTAGGTTCTCATCTCCTGGTTATATATTTTTTGAAGCCATTTTCACAAAACATCGTTGATTCATTTGGAACTGGAAATCAAAGTCGACTCTGATGGGAATTGAACCCACAACCCCTGAATCCCCAGCTCTTTAGCAGTTTAATACACTGCCCTATTGGTTAGCCAGGGTTTTCCTGATTGGCCCAAGTTAACAACCCCAATCAAGGACATTGTAGTCAATGAGGTCCACCTAGTTCCAATCACTGCAGTGGACCTCAGGTTAAACTTGCCACCAGTTGTCTTCCTCTAAGGAGACTATGATAATGTTGCTTTAAACAAAAGCTTTAGTGGTAATGTCACTGAACTAATCATCCAGAACCCCAGAATTTGGGTTAGAATTCCACAATGGCAGGTGGTGGAAACTTGAATGCAATAAAAATGTGGAGCAAACATCTAGCCTCATGGTGACTGCATAACCGTTGTGAAATGTTTAAAAAACATATCTGGTTCACTAATACCCTTTACTGAAGGAATTCTGCCATTCTCACTAGGCCTTGTCTACATGTGACTCCAGACTCAAAGTGGTTGACTCTTAATTGCCCTTTTAAATAAATGCTGGGCCAGTAACGCTATGTCCCAAGAATGAATGAAAAGGCAAACAAAAAAAACGTAACGTTGTTGCAACCAAACTGGTCAAACTTGAACAATATTTCATTATTGATGGATTACTTACATTGCTAAAATAGTAGCCGTGTTCTGCGCATGATGCATGTGAAAAGCATTTTCATGATACTTTAGGATCAGAAAGGTGCAAACGTCACATGGTATTTATTTTAAATGAACATTACCTACTTGCTGAAAGTGAACTCCAACCGTACAGCTAACTATAAAATGGGAATTATTGGTACAGGATTCGGGTTTGTTTTTAAATCCATAGCCTGAACACCTCGAATGAGCTAACTGAGAGCAGTGCGCCATTCATTTAGACAGCTAGCTGTGCAGCTATCGAGCGAGCTGTCTTTCCCAGAGTCCACATGACCAAAGGCAAAATTATCAATTTTTTAAAAAAAAATGCTAAAAGATGATTGCTTTGTATGACTTGTATAGACAGTTAACACCAAACATCATAATCAGGCAGTTAAACATTAATTAACTAAACTTTTATTTTAGCCTACAACTGACTGGACTTTCAGTACCTAAATATCTTTTCTGAAGCTGTTTATTTTCAATCTCCCAAGGTCAAAATGTTGCTTAAAAAATTTGATTGTGTTATTTGGATTAAAACGGGGGGAAACGACAGATCATTTTTCAAGGTCGTGCGACAAAACTCGCATTTATATAGCTTCTTTAAAGTAGTAAATGGTCCCAGCGCTCTTAAATAGGATGGGAATGAGTCTTTAACTACTCATAAATGTCAAACAGCTATTTAATAATTCCACTTCTGACTGAATGAAGCGTGTTCTAATTTGCCAAAAGCACTGCGGGTGTTGGAAATCTGAAATTGAAATGCAGGAAATTCTCGGCAGATCTGACATCTGAGGAGAAACAAAGTTTAACATTCTAAGTCGATGATCCTATCCCTCAGCTCACGGTTCGGATGAAAAGTCGCCCAACTGAAATGTTAGCTTTGTTTTCCTACTTTACAATTTGAATGGTGATTAGCTGCCTCCATATTTTTAACAAAAGTGTCGGTGTCCTGTGTCTTGTGGTTATAAGTTTCAAAAACGTAACCGATTAAAAACTACCCATGACCGCAACAACCTATTACTAAGCATAAAGCCAGTATTTCCCGGAAGCGGAAAATTGCTCACTTACAGAGTTTCCAACTATTCTCAACCAACAAGGTAAACCTAAATGGATTGTTCTTTAAAGAAAAAAAAACAAAAATGTAGATTTTTCAGATATACAGTAGTGATGGGAAATTAACATTTGAAAGTAATTTGTTTCCATTATTTTGTTACAGCAGAACCTGCTGACACCCTTCAGATTTTTATTATTCAAAACATTTGATACATTCAAGTACGAGTGGGTTTCGTTTAATGCGAAGGTCAAGATGTTACAGATACATTTAGTATCTTAATCCCCGTCTTTACACAATACATTGGAGGATTTTTGTTAAGTAATGTATCATATATTAACATACAACACGAGGTAATGCTCTGCTTCATGTACTGGGAATATGGCAACAGATGTTAAACGTCGGTTTCCTACTATGGAATTAGCTGTTACAACCAACAGCTAAGGCGGGCGAATTTTGATAAGTAGAATGACTTCTGGTGTTTTTGTACTGAATTTTCCAACATGTAAATCTTGATTACAATCCATTTCCATGCATTGTAAGAGGGAGAACGGGCAGGAGAAGGAAAAGTCATTTGGTACTGCATCTATTTGAAGTTTCGGTATAACTCTGAGCGTGTAAGGCATTCACTTTGCTTACTGCAAATCATTCAGACAAATTACGGCACACATTACTGTTAAAGGCTTGTTTTAAATGCGCCAACTCAATCCTTATTCAATAATCTACCCAGTGGTTTAGTATACCAGCAGATCAACGGATTGATTCTCTATATCTTATTTAAAGCTGACATGCATATGGCCTGGGTTTGTTGCCTGCTCACGTAGCGTTTAAGATTGTAGTGCAGTGGCCGGTGAGAAGAAGTGAATTATTTTCTGCCGAATGAACCTGCAGCATGCTTTACAATACTTATGATTGCCCTAGTTCCAAGTACAACTTGAATACCACTCCATTGATTTAGGTTATATCCCACTTTCATCCCAGGCGCTGCAGTTAATAGTGAGAAATGCGACCAACTCCAGACTCCAAGGGCAAGTGTGATTAGGGGATGACTGCATGTTTGTCAGGGACAGGATTGACTGAAATATTAATTCACTCAAATCTTATTGCCTTACGGGAATTAAGATCTGGTCCCCTTTAAACCTGAATATGGAGGGCTTTGAGCGAGGTAAAATCTCTCCGCAGGATTTGAAATCATGTCGCGATAATTGTGGAATTTTAATTAAGTTAAAATCTGGAATTAAAAAGGACTGATCATAGCTAACCCGTTAAAAAGAAATCTGGCTCACTACCGTCCTTTTGCCTAACCTCCACACCCAAAGTGTGATTGACTCCGAAATGGCTTAATGGGCAACTCAGTTCACGACCATGTTGAACAGACAACAAAAGCCAACATTTCCTGAAGAAGGGTCTAGGCCCGAAACGTCAGCCTTCCTGCTCCACTGATCCTGCTTGGCCTGCTGTGTTCATCCAGCTCTACACCTTGTTATCTCATAGAGGAAGTCTTGTGGCGCAATGATTGTGCCCAGCCTCTGAGACATGGAGGCGAGGGTTTGAGTCCTACCTACTTCAGAGTTGTGTCATATCATCTCTGGACAGTTGATCAAAGCTATTAGGTAAAGGACAAAGTCACCCATGAGTAAACGCTGGGAATCTGTGAACTCCTTGGACACTAATTCTCATGGTCAACTCCACGTTTGGTTTCACTGTTACTATCCACAAAACATGAACATATTTCACAGAAAAGTGGGAACTTAAAGAGTGGCTGTGACCTAAAGGTGAAGGTACCGTTAGAAGTTGAAAATTGTTAGTTACAGACTAGGAATGGGTTCAACAAAAATTGAGGGAAGTTTATACTCGGGCAGTATCTTATATTTTAGCCTGTGCTTCCTTGAAGCTTTAAATCAATGTAAACTATTTCCTCCCAAAATGTTGGTGATTCCAAATTCGAGTTTACTTGAGATTCGTTCCATTCTAATGCAAATCGGCTTGTAAACGACAAACATAAAATGGCATAGGGTAAATAAAAGATGAGATATCAATGTAACAAACACTTTTGCTTTATTTCATAGATTACGGTCTAGTTTATACAATATTAGCCGAAAATCCGTAGTTTACAAAAAAATGACAGTATCCAGAACCAGATTGCATGGATACTCAATACAAAACAAAGTTCATCTTTACTGCTCTCCTGCGTAAATAAATAAACCCAAAATAAAACTGCAGAACTGTGGGAACTAGTAGTAAATATATAAATGGCGCTCTCGGTCGGATGGTGACCCCATCAAACGCTTGTCATCGGTGCAGAGCCTGTTTCAGTTGTGGGAAGTGCTTAATGCTACCGACAATAGCAGCGTTTGTACAACATCTTGTGAATAACATGACTCCAGCAAAATATTGCACTTGTTTGGGGTGGGGGCAAGGAATATTTTCTTGCATAATTGAAAGAGGAATTATAGATATATAGAATTCCAACATTAAACGACATGGTCCCGGCCTTTCCTTCCGGCGAAACACATCAAATCATACCGATTCCAGTCCCCTTCTCTCCACGCCCATTCATTAAACATACCCCCGCGTCTCTCTGCAGTTCCGTTACATAACTAATGAAACAAACAGGACTCACATCGGGAAGCTGGGCTTTACACCATTGTTGCGACAATGTAGAAAAATATAACTAGCTCTGAATAAAGATTGGTCTACTTGCCATATTGTACAGTTACTCGTTCTAAGGAAATCCACTTAAATTACTATTTCAGAATAATTTTGTACATTGTATATCATGGGATTTTAGAAAAGAGAGACATTAATTTAATGCCAGTCGAATGTTCTGCCAACCAAGTCGAAGAATTTGCGATTTGGTTCACTAAAGAAGCCGTGTAACTTGTTGAGCACAGCGGAGTCTACTGGCGGGTGCGTTCTCCCTTTAGACTCGTGCAAGCACCTCTCCCTGGCCCCATCTCGGAGGCAGTAAAATCCCTTCGTTTTGTTGAAGTAAAAATTGGACCTGTTAATCCGCGGCGACAGCCTCAAGAATTTCTCCACTTTCTCCATTTCCGGAAAGGGGTCCCTGATCAGCCGGTCGCCGTCCACAATGTGGATCTGGCTGAGCGGGAAGTACCTCAGCCAGTTTTGCAGATGGATGTAGTACAAGCTGCGGTTGATCGCCTTGTAGTCAACGTTGATGCGGCCCCCTCGGACCAGCAGCTCCTCCACCGACTGGAAGGGCTTGTGTTTTTGCATCCTGTTGAACAATACCTGAGTGTAGTCCGATATCACTCTCTCGGTTGGGTCTCGCAGTATGAGCAGGAGGCGAATAGTTTGGTTCATTTTGTAGATCCTTTCAGGCACTTTGTGTGAGGTGAAGTAGGCGGGTGTCTTTTCCACCGTGGTCTGGTGGGGGTAAGAGATGGGCATTTGGCGGCTGTACCACTGGAGGCCCTTCTCGTAGTTGCCTTCCCAGTCGAAGAAGTGAATCTCGCTGTCGGCGGCTCGGACCTCCGGGTGAAGGTTCAGCATTTCCAGCAGAGCCCGCGTCCCGCCCTTCCTCACCCCGATGATGATGGTCTGAGGCAGCCGCTGAATGGTCCCGTTCGGGAAGACCGCCTCCCGGAACGGCTCGCCGCTGCCCGCGCTGTTCTGCACGAGGTAGCGCAGGGCGGGAGGCGGCAGCACCCGGCTCAGATCAAACACCGGCCGGGAAGGCACAGCTACCGGCTGCAGCAAGAACAGGAACAGGCCCAGAAATAAAGTGGCCATCATGGAAGACTTCAGTCTGGATTTATTAAACCAGCGGAGGGTGTACGGAGTGAACTCCACATGGATATGCACAGGGACTCTTCGGAGTATGCTGAGATTCCTCTGGGACCGACACTCACTGAAGAGAGAATAGATAAAAAAAACAAGAGATGCGTTTAAATGTGTCTCACCAACACGACTCAGTATAAATCAAGATGCCTGTAGCTTGTAGCCATGTAGTCTAAACGCAGCTAATATTCTTTACAAACTATGTTCATGCCCTTTAAAACCTATCGATTTACATTCTCCAGAACCAGCAATCTAACTTCCATTGAATCGCCGCTGTGTCTTTCAACGATGAAGCAAATGGAAAACTCCTCACCATGTGACTTACAAATACAACGCATCTAAATGAAAGTAGAGAGATGCTGGAGATCGGTTCTGAGGAAGGGTCACTGGAGGCGAAACGTTAACTCTGATTTCTCGTCACAGATGCTGACGGACCTGTTGAGGTTTTTCCAGCAACTTCTGTTTATGGTGCTGGACATATACATATACATCGATTCGCTTCTGTAAAGGGAAACCCCAACATTCAGCAGAGGAGGAAGACTCTTCCCCAGAACTGAGAACAGGCCTGCCCTTCTGCGTACTGACAGACCCGCGATGAGGTTCCAGCTTCCTCTCCTGTCAGAATTGCGGAAGCGTTTTGGCCAGCATTAATGATCCAAGAATTGCTTCCCAATGGAATTTGATGTCAGTACTTTTATCCCGATTGTGTTCACAGTCAATGTAAGAGCGAATTCTACTCTACAATAAGACTAGTGTTTTCAATAACAGCCAATTTAGTTTCGTTCTGAAGGTAGGTTAGGGAAAGATGTCTCAAGGAAATGTCTTTTTTTCTGGTTTAAGCCGAATTTTTTTTTAATGGAAGAGGCAACGGTTAAAAAAAAGAAACGAAAAGGACAACATTGAGTGTGATAATATCCCAGTTTGCCCTCCATCCGGAGCAAAGCGCCCACCAACAGATCCTTTGTATGTGCTTTTGTTTCACACTCGCTAGGAGGTCCGTTTCCTGCACTTGATATTTTTCCCTTCGCTTTCATCGCGTGTATCTTTTTATACGGCGCGGTGGAGCGACAGTCAGTGATGAACGGGCATTCTGAATTTCTGCAGCATGTAAAACCTGGTGAACACGGCGCCAGCTTCTACCTCCTCAGCTCCATGTCCACCAGGTTCGGGGGCGGGGGAGGGGAGGGGGGAGGGATTGAGGTCAACCCAAAAGCGAGGCGAAGCCCCAAAGAGAGCTGCCCACCAACCTCCCCAGAGACTCGCTGCTGTGCATCTGCCTTGAGCTGAGCTGAAGTCAGGGCGAGCGATCCATTTGTGAGTCCACATCCCAAATGAATTATAGGCCACTCGAAAGGCTTTATAAAGTCAGCAGCGGCCGTGCTGTAAACGGGGCGGTGGGTGGGGGTGACTTCACAGCTGACAAAAGCGTGCGCTGACGCCGACATATCGGCTTCGCTGTGGGTCGGGGAACGGGGGTGGGTGTTCTACAGACTGAGGAAGTCCGGCAGTGGCGTGTTTACATCAGGTGCAATCCAAGTGTCTCTGGTGTACACGAGTCCGGGAGCGCCCTGCTATTGGATGAATAGCGGCGACTTGGGGCGGGGGTCGGGGAGACTGGCAGGAGCACACCTCCCTCATGGGGCATTTGTTTGAAAGATAGATTTTACAGAATCCAGAGCACCGTCAGGAAGAGAGCAATACACTTCCATTTCACCGTGTCCTGTACGAATGACGGAAAAATAGAAATACAATAAGTTGACGGTGCCTGCGGTATATGCTTTGTGTACCCGTGAATGGATGGATGGCAAGGGATTCGATCTCAGTACAGTACCACTGAGCGATTCTCTCCCCAGACTAACCGCTCAGATCGTCAGCACTTCAGTAATCTATAGGAGCAACCCTTGCAGTGCATTAGAATTTATAATTAAATGTTGTTACGTGTTGCTTGTGGCCAATTATAAAACCCATGTTTTCATCGCTGTTTCTCTCTGACATTGTCGGGAAGTGGCTAAAACCGCCGCTCGGTTCCGTCAAGTGATTTCAATCGAGAGATTCTGATAGATAGGAAGGGAAATGAGATTGGGCATCTCGCATCAGTCTCTGTGATAGTTAACGCGTTAACAATAACACAAACCACAGCAACTGGGGAACCATCATGCAAAGAGCGAGGGGACTGGCTTAGCCAAGCTTTGCTGCTGGAATAGTATTGAGGCGTTAAGAAGTCACAGAGAAACTTCAAAGGGAAGCCTTTCCACAGGGAATAGAGAAGGTTCAGCTGCTGTATCGTGTAAACTCAAGCCTGCTGATTATCTTGCAACACATAAATAACCCCAGAGTTAAGATCCTGCGAAAACTCTTTTTAACACTTAACTGAACCTGTACCAATGTACCTAATGAGTTTCGAAATCACAAAAATAATTGGGTCCTTAACAGCACTGTCAGAGATCATTGCGAGCCACACGATGGAGTCGAAAGACACGAATCGAAAAATGTACACAGTACATTCGAAACTTCCGCCAGGCGTCATGCACAAACACCTTGCAAACTACCAAAGGGTCGTAGGCGACACGCTAACTTTACTTTTTGCTTAAACCCACTTGTCGGAGATTCCCAACGCGTTGTGCTTTCAGCCTCGACCATTGCACATCAATAGCCTGCAGATCTCGTCGTGGTTTAACACTAATCCAGAAACACCACTTCAGATTTGTAAAGGTACAACCAGTCAAACAAGTGGCACGTTATTTTCCGTTTTAAAGTTTTTGAACTGAACTGTTTAAAAATAGCGCCCGAAGTCTGAAATGATAATTTCTTTTTATCGAAACAAAACATAATTCAAACAAGCATCACCTCCACTTTGCACAGCGAGATAACCACAGACTCGAAACAATCCGCACCATCTGCTGCTTCTTTTGAGGTCAAAATATTCTACACTTTTAAACAAAACCCACCAGTGATAAAGAGAATTTAAAAAAAAAACAACACACTTGACAGAAGATGTACAATTAGGTTCCAAAATTACCTGTGATACAAGTCTCCCTCACAAGCCACGGTTCACAAACGAGTCTCGCATAGCAGCGAGCGGTAACTCCTCTCCTCAGGGTTGCTATACCCCGTCAGCTGAAATCGCGTTGCTGTGAAATTCCAAATGACTGTTGATTATTTCCCCCCCCTCTCTCTCTGTGCCTTTGGAGATTGAGGCTACGCGGTCAGCTACAGTCACAACACACAGCTGGAAGACAGACTGGAACCGCTTGCTGTGAAGACAGTCCGGGATCTTGGTCTCAGCAGTGAGACTGACAGCAGCGCTTGGGCTCGCTCATTGGCGAAGGCTGGGTTAAATCCGCCCTGCCCGCCCACTGCCTTTCCCTTCCCACTTACCCACCCAGCCACCTCATTCTCACTCACACTCAGCCGCTCCTTTCTTGCTTACGCCGAGTGACTTCCTTCGAAATGCACGGGAGTTCCGATTCCCAGCGGGAATGACAAGATGCCTGGGAAGGCGGAATCGGGTGGCGGCCCTTGGCTTTGCTTCAGCCGGATTTTTAACGCGCCGGAGACATCCTCTAACCCCGAACCCATGCGGCTGAAAGAGCGCAGCCGTTCTGTACAGCGGGTCTACTGAACTGCAGCGCTTTTGGCATTCTCGGGATGTAACTTTTTATCTTTTTTTTTGTTTTGTTAAGGAGGCTGCAGGGATTCTGATTGCATTATTCTGGGGGTTTTATTTCCTCAAAAGACTGGGAGGATAACTTCGCGGGGTGTTTCTGATCCTTCCCTCCCTCACTGTCTATTCAGATATCCGCCTCTCTCTGAACTGACTGCACATGCGATCACGGGGGCTGCAGAGCAGAATGTACTCAGTTAGAGGTCACGGGAATCGGGGCCAGAAACAGGATTCCTGGCTGTTTATCAACCTTCTGAGTGCAGGTATGCAGAGGGCCAGCGATTGAGACTTCCGGCTCTGACGAGCCATAAAAACTAGCTGCCCGCACTTATCAATCTGTCAGTTTCTCTACACGTGATGCTTTCTGGCCAAGGCAAACCTGTTTTCAGTCCCACATCTCGGCAAAAGTAGAAACCCAGGCCTTGGCCTGACTCCAGAGTCAGAACTTAAACCAGATCCCAAGAAATGCGAACACCCTTCCCTCGCAAATTATCTCATAGTTTAGGCTTGCCTGTGCCCAGAAGATAACTCCGAAGGGATCGGTGTGCAATTTTTATAAAATGCTGTAACGACTTGTTTAAACCATGGGGACTTTATGAAGTGGCGGCAGTCTTTTTTTTAAACCCGCATTAAAACACTATGTCCAAGTGGTCAGCTTGGACACACGAATATACTGGACTTCTTCCTAACGGTCAGAGCCTGCTTTCGCAGCAAGGTGTCGCTTTTGTTATAATTCCGGGATGGATCACACATTGGAACATAAAGAGCAGCAAGACCAGAACCCAGCGCCCCCAGCATGGGGCTGCTCTGTCAATCGATAAAATCATGGCTGATGGTTTACTTTAAACTCCACCTACCCGCTTTATCCTCCTATATCTCGATCCCCTTACTATGATCTCTCAGTATTAGTCATGACTACACTCAGTGACTGAGTGTCCACAGATATTTGCGATTTAGAATTCCAAATATTCATAAACGTTTCAAAGAAATTCTCGTCCGTTCTAAATGGCAAACCTGTCATTTATTCTATAACCCTAGTTCTAGACAGACTGACCATGACAAACATCCTCCCAGCTTCCATCTTCTCAAGTCCCTTAAGAATTTGGTAACCTCAATGAGAGGACTGCTCTTTCATCCCAGGAAGCAGGGTAGGTGCACTGTTGTTGCACTTCTCCCAGGGAAGTATCTAATTCCTTGGGTAAGCTGCAGCTGCTAGTCATAGACTTGATCTATAACAGAGAAACAATGATGCTATAATATTTGTAACTGCAAATGTAAGAGGATAAAGCTTAAAAGTAACTTTGAGGATTCATCATTATGTAGCAATGTTATTGCGGGATATAGATATGCGATGGTCTGTTTTAATATTGTGTTTCAGGTTGCGCTGTGGTCACCAACTCCCACACAATGCCACCCTGCTTTCAGCAGAAACATAAAATTAAACTTGTTACAGTGTCAAGACACTCACCAGTAAGTCAGTTTAAAATGGACTGCTGGTCTGTGAGATAGCTGCATAAGCCAGCAATACCAGCAGAGTATTAAAGCAACATATACGCAGCTAGAAACACAGCATGATGTTGACATCATTTATATCACCAGGATGAAATGGCCCAGCATTTAATATCTGGAATTTGCACAGCAGTGATTATGAATTCCAGTCCCACCATTGTAAATTGTGTATCTAAAGTCAATACATTTGACAATTTTCAGCTTAGTTCTAGAAAATGAACGTTAAACATATTGACCTGCCAAATTGGGAGAAAAAAGAACTGTTTCACAGATTCCCCTCTTTCAGGAGAGGGACACTACCCCCTTTCCCCTATAATGGTCTGGCATACAGATACCTAAGTCCCGTACTCATGATAACAAAGAAGATGAGACAAACACTGCTTTGCCAATGTTGCATTAATTACAAAATGAATTGTAAAAATATCCCTGAAATGAGATAACAACCCTGAAATCCTTCCAGGACATGTACCTGTAAATGATCACCAATGTGGGAAATGTACTATTTTCCATTTTGGATACTTTCATCAAGCATTTTGTTTGATGGATTCGCATAATATCGCTTCACCACTGGAGCTGAGTTTGAATATAGCTCACACAGGTCAGATGAAATTCTCTTCTATCTACTGGTTGTAAGTAGAACATTGCAACTGAAGTCATGCATATCTGGAATGAATTTTTGGTAGTTTTAACTTGTTTCTAAAGTATATCATTTCATGGTTAAATAGTGCCTACCCTTTGCTACAAATTGACTGCACTAACAATGCTGTTTGATCAAAATCATAAGAATGACAAGTATGCAAAACGGAAAAGTCCTCACTGGTGCAGTGGAGGCTGCTGCATTGAGATTTGTACTGAGACAGATTTAGGGAAAATTTATGTGATAGTCTACGTGTAACAAAAGGACAAATCTATATATCAAAAATAATCTACAGTTTTGTTGAAAGTTACACAATGTGAATCTCTTTACTTTTCGACATATACAGTAGTTGACTTCAAATTGCACAGACCGAGGGACAGAAGTTGAAGGGTGCTCTATCTTCCAGCACTGAAGGCTGACTTGGAGGACCATAATGTCACCAAATGTTTAGCACCAATTTGGAGTGAATTACTATCAATTGAATCTTTCAAATTTCAAATGAAACCATTTAACTTAGATGCCACCATATACCTATTGAATGGAACATACCAATAGTTAATATTAGCAATTAAAAATTGTCCTTTGTTTGGGTAGGGAATGGGGTGGCAGTTGCCTGTCAACCATAAAAACCGAAAGAAATGCGAATGCTGTAAATCAGGAACAAAAACAAAGTTGCTGGAAAAGCTCAGCAGATCTGGCAGCATCTGTGAAGGAAAAAACAGAGTTAACGTTTCGGGTCCAGTGACCCTTCCTCAGAGCCTGTCAACCATAACTGGT